GCATCTGTAATTTTTACTTTGCACAAGCTTAAGGATCTTCACCATCTGTTTAGTTTAAGAAGCTAACCTAGCATTAAGATTATTAGCATTGAATTGAATGTACATTAGCTTGACCATAGGTCTTCTGCTTCCTTTTATCAGTTGATGATCTGGTATATTTGGTTGGTATTTCTTTCTCATGCACTCGCGAACACAGCTATTTTCCTCAAAGTCTTCTAATCATTTCTAATTGATCCTTATATTTATTGCTTATGAACGGCTTGCGCACAACTTTGTGTGTTAGATTCAAGAGTGAAGTTGTGGTCTGTGATGTTGTATATGCTGCAGCCCGAAGATTTCAAGTGCCACTGTAAGAGAATCCTCTGTGATAGAAAGCATTTGATGCTGATAAGTCTGGGATAGATGAAGTTTGTAGAGTTCTGGCCCACCTATACACCATTTCAAAGGCACAGTATATTCCTGTATGTAAGGAACGGGGTTCATTTGCAACATCTAATCGATCATGGGATTCACCACATCAGTCTGTTGCCAAGGTAAACATCATGCTTTAACCAAATTAGTTCGGTTTGATGTGTAACGGCAATTTGTTTTTCTTGTTTGCTTTATGATTCTAATGTATAGCCAACTGCCAATTTAATTGCCAGGACAATACATTGAGTAGACGATAGGGAATAATTCATCATTTTACTTCATTAGTGTATTTTAAAGAAATTTGGAATAATTGACTTGCTTCTTACGGGAATGTCTAGGTAAGTTCTAAATCTTTTTTGCCCTTTGTTTTTGTTTAGGATGGTTCCTTAGACTGAACCGGCTGCAAATGAAGATAGTAGTACTGCAAAAGGGTCCTGTTCAGCTGCAAATCAGGAAGTGAGTAAGGATGTACTAGTAAAAGCCGCTCTTGACAAGATGGAGTTGAAGAGTGACGATGACTCTAAAAGCATGCCCACGGGTGGAGAGTCGAGAGAAAATCCAGAGTCCAAATTGATGTCTGATCATTGAACAGAGGCTGGAGCTGAAAGCAACAATGGAAGAGACAAAGAGAGGGACAGGGACAGAGATAGGGAGAAAGAGAGAACAAAGAGCAGAAATCTCGATAGCGGATGAGAATTTGATAGGGAACGAGGAGGGGAGGATAGTAAAAGGGATAGAGAAAAAGTCAAGGAAAGGGCCACCATTCGAGGGACAAAGGAAAAGACTCTGGTCAGTTAATGCTATAATTCTTCTGCATTATACGTTTTGATTGCACTTCTTTGTTTATACGGCATTGAATTTCTTTTTCTGAACACCTTATGCAGGATGTTTCAAGAAATCAAAACATCACTCTTCTCAAGGTAAGTTTGTAAATGTTTCATTATTTATTTGATAATTTTTTTTTTATCCAAATTGAATTATCAAATAAGCAAATTGTTTGTTTTACCAGATCGAGAATACCACAGCTCGTCTTACTCATCAAGGGAGAAGGATCACCGCAAACATTAGTCTTATGCATAAACTGAGATAAAAAGGTGCTATTTTATTTCTGTTATGCTGTTCGACTGTATATTTCTTTCTTACAAGTAAAAAATTCTGGATCAAAAGTACTTCTAACGAGAAACCTTATTTCTTATTCTTCGTTTAATGTTTTTGTTGACAACCATTAAGGAAACAATGAACTTTTGCATTTCTATTTTACGTGGGGCTTTTTGGACAATCGTGCTGCTGTGAAACTATTTGACATGTCGAGGTCTTGTTCGCCTAATATATTAATCTCATCTATTAAGCTTTAGGATTACTCTTTTTTCATTAGTTCGTACATTTCTTTCGTTTGGTACATTTTCCTATGACTACGCCATTGTCTGTCCTTATAATTCTTTTTTTAATTTGAGAAAATTCATGGATGTTAAACTGGTCGATTAATCGTTCCTTAATTTCTAGTTTCTGTTGCATCTAGAATGTAGAATACACATGGTAAGTGATTTAGCCCCCGTTTGACAATGATTATTTGGTAAATATTATGTTTTCAATAGTTATTTTTAGGAGAATGTATGGTTAAAAAGTATGAAAAAAATTTGGATTTACACGTAGAATATTTTATTGTGTGAATGTACGTTAAAAATGAGTATGTAGAAAAAGGAGTTTGTAAATAACAGTTGTCAAACAAGGTGCTAATTTCATGTGTTTATGTGCACTTGTTTTGGCAACCATTAAAATAATTATTTTTTTACCAAACTCATTTTCAACTACACATTCTCACAATAAAATATTTTGCATATAAATCAAAAAAAAATTCCTTATTTTTAACCATATATTCTCCAAAAAATCACTATTTCATATTTCATTTTTCTCAGAAATTTTTTTTTAATGGTTGTCAAATGGGGGCGTAATATCATTAGTTGAGATCGTGATAGGTTATCATCCTCAGTGGAGATTGAGATGGATTGGTGGTTCTAAAGTTGAGATTGATATGATGCACATACTATTAGAAGTTGAGACTGAGATCCAACATTTTTGGCCCTA